AGAATAAAAACAATAAATACATAATTTCTTATAGAATACGAGTAACAATTGTTAAGAATTAATACATTCTAAAAGAATAATGTTGCTTAGAATCACTTTCAATTTTGTGGTCCATTCTTCAAGCATCAACTTCTGTGAAAACAAAACCAAATTGCAGTTTTGATTCCAATAATGCATTAACAAATGAAAAATAAAAAACTAAATTCATTTGGAAAAATATGTGGACTTGTGAATTGCACCAAAACCAATAACCAAGAATTGTAGAACATGCATACTCCATTCCAACATAATTATAATTCATGATTTCATTCCAACAGAATTGGAATTCGTGATTCCTTTAGCATGTATATAAATCAAGAACCTTCCAACAGAATTATACTCCAGGGTTCTCTTGGACCTTTTATACCTGGCTATTGTGGATAATTTGTCCATTAAATAAGGTAACATGTATGAATTTATATAAAATAATACAGTAGTATATAAACTTAGAGGAAGTGTTGGATTATGGTAGTCATTTTCAAACACTGTATCAAGATCACGAAATAAACGATGTTCTGGTGTGTCATAGCGTCCATCATAGAGGTCCAAACCACTAATAAAAGCAGAGATCTTTCTGTAATTTCCATGGGCTTGTATGTCCACTATAACACATTTTTGATGATGGGTGTAAAGGGTCCCAACCACCTGTGTATATCATTTTGGAACTTTCAGAAATCTTTAGAGTTTGGGAATGGTAGCATTTAGAAGTCTAGATAAAAGAGAAAAAATGAAGATGAATTAAAAACAAATGTTAGACAAAGGATTTGAGATGAAATTCATACCATTTTGATTCTCTCAGTCCAATTCGATCTCCGGTAACTGCCCCTCCTGGAGGTGCGCATCCTGATACAGCGTCACATTCCCCCCGTGTCTCACAGGAAAATAACTATCCTTCAGGCCAAATAACTCATCGGCAAGAATTGATTTTTCCTTGTTCTGATCATCACAAGATGCGAATTTGATCCGTAATCGTATTGCGGTATTAGGTTTTGCCGGTTTACCACTATGACCAATTATCGGGAACCAATCATCGATTAACTCTCCGGACATTACGCTCTCGGCGGAGGAGTGAAAAACGATTGCCAGAATCACAACATCAATCCCTAAGAATCTGGTGGTGTTGACCAAAGTCTTCTTCTATGTCGTTCATTTTCTCGTTCCTACTTTAGTCGATCATATGGGGCGATGGTAGCTTGGTGGTGGGTGATGGTATTGATCGGCGGCTGTGTATATAAGAAAATAAATTAGGTTAAAAGTTAATTCTAGCATGATTATAGGGATTATTTGTGGAAGCTATTTATCAAATTACTAAAATACCCTTGTTTATTTATTTAATTATTAAATTTTTTATTTTAATTTTGATTGGTCCACATTTATGCATACAATAACACAATAATTATTTTAAACACCTGAACCTATCTATCTATCTATCTATATATATATATATATAATATATATATATATTATATATATATATATATATATATATATATATATATTAACTTGTCATTTGAAAAAAATACTATTGGCAAATTGACATTTTTAAATATACTTTTCAACCACTATTAAATATTAACAAACAACGATAAAAAACTATATTGACTATTATTGTCATTATCATAAATAAATCGATGATGCTGGTTTCTCTTATCACATAAACATGCAATTTCTTTTATAGATCAAGATATGTATGATAATGATCATTCGGAATTAAAATATTTTATAATGAAGTGATCAATGTTTAAATCTTACAATCTATTGATTCAAGTTTATAAGTTCTAATACAAAATTGATTGTGGACCATTCATCCAAACATCTTACATTCAAGTTTACTCTCTCTCTCTCTCTCTCTCTCTCTCTATATATATATATATATATATATATATATATATATATATATATATATATATATATATATATAGAGGTAAGTTCAATTGAGAAAATAAAAAATGTTGAGAATGGATGAATCATTCTCAACCACTCATTTATTTTTGCGGCAAAAGCCTCCGTTGTACCAGCGGAAATGGATAAGGAATGCACATGTGTTTCTAACAAAACATGTTTCCTTAAACTATGTTAATCATTACCTTAATATATACAAAAACATAGTTTTTTTTTCGTTTTTTTAATTTTTAAGAATCTATTTTTATCGAAAAATGATTTTAAATATACCAAAATTCATGATTTTTTATTCTCTACAAATAGACATCCATATTGATATACTTTTAAGATAAAATAAAAAATTTATTTTTTTTATATGTTCAGGTATCGTTATTCATAAGTGAATAAAAATGCATCAGATTTTTGCTACAGTACATTCGTTATTCACTTATGAATAAAAATATATAATTAATTTTTTTTACAGTTTAAGTATCATTAATACTACTTATTCATATATGAATAACAAATTAAATGCAACAAAAATCTGATAAATGTTTTATTCATATATGAATATAAAATATGACGACAACTAATACACGTTTTATTCATATATAAATATAATATATGACGGAAGATGATGTAAAAAATATATTTTAAGTAAGAAAACTTTATTACTTGTCATATTCATATATGAACGATACTTAAACTATAAAAAAAGTTAATCATACGTTTTATTTATAAGTGAATAACGAATTACTGTAATAAAAATCTGATAGATTTTTATTCACTTATGAATAACGATAGCTGAAACTCTAAAAAAAATAAATTTTTTATTTTATCTTAAAACTTTATCAATATGAATGTCTATTTATAAAGAATAAAAAATTATGAATTTTAATATATTTAAAATAATTTTTCGATAAAAATGGCTTTCTTAAAATAATATAAAACAAAAAAAAAGTATGTTTTTGTGTATATTAAGGTAATGATTAACATAGTTTAAGTAAACATGTTTGGTTGGAAAACACATGTTTATCCGTTATCCATTTGGGACGGTACGCCTAAGTGTTTTGCGACAAAATAAATGTGTGGCTGAGAATGCTTCCCCCATTTTCAACCTTTTTTTTCTCAATTGAACCCTCCTATATATATATATATATATATATATATATATATATATATATATATATATATATATATATATATATATATAGGAGGGTTATTGTGTTCTAACTATATATTATGTGCATGTAAGATTGGTTGTGGTCCAATCATTTTAGTTATTTTAAGAAACTAATTAATACATGTTTAATATTGAAGATATAATAATTTAATAGTTGTATGTTTCAAATATATTATTACAGTATATAATAATTTAATAGTTGTACGTTTCAAGAAGAATGACGAGGCATTTTGGTTGTTGGAATATTTTAAGAGGGCATTTGATACACTAAATACTTTTGAAGGTAATGAAATTTGAGGGAACTAAAATTTGAATGAATAAAATTTCAAAGAGATTAGAATTTATGATTTATTTGGTTGACATAAAATCGATTGAAATTATGTTTTGTTCTTTGTTTGAGTTAATTTTATTAAATAAAAGATAAATATGAACACTTTTGTGATATAATTTTATTAAATAAAGTTAATAGAAGACTATATAGAAAAAAATTAGAACAAAGATATTTTATTAAGCTATTAAGGAGCTAAGCTAAACAAAAACAATTACATCAAGAAAATAAACTCTATCTATCTAATTGTTTCAAACATATTATCTTTAATTTGTTGATTTTTAAGTAAAAGTCATATTTGATGTTGATTTCATTTTAATATGATATATAGTTTTATAAATAAAGGACAATAAATTTATTATATGATTGTAATGTTATGTTTATTTGATTATGTTGACTATTGATTAATGTCTTTAATATTATATATATATATATATATATATATATATATTAATTTTGATTTTGCATATAAAATAAAATAAATTACCTAGTCAAAAAATAATTAATAATTAAATTTGTATTACTATTAAGAGGGAAACAAATTATTATTAAAAGCGGGGATAAAATATATAAATAAAATAGACGATCAAATGGATAGAAAAAAATAAATGGTTGGCTAAAGCTTCATAAAGATGGTATACTTAAATGATAATAGATTGTATCAAATTATTTTAAATAGTAAAAAAAAAACAAGTAACTTCTACTATAAGAGTTACTATTGCCTTTACACTATTTTGACAATTTTAATAACCCTCACAAAATTATATATAGAAAATTAAATTAAATTTCATTTAATTTTTTATCAATAAAACACCCAACACATTTCTGTTTTTCTTTTTGTTCCTTTTTCTTTTTTAATTTGATTATTTTCAAAAGCAATTTTTGAACCACATATTTTTCTGAGTGTTTTATATTTCGTTAAAGTATATAATATCTTTTTTTGGAAAGAACCCAAGTCTCGGCAGAAAAGTATATAATATCTTATTAAACCAAATAGATGAATAACCAACTAACTTTTAATTATTAATTATCCCACCACTAAAAACAATCGACATATCATCAATTGACATCATAACCGATTAATATACATAAAGACGAGAGATAGCAAAAAAATAAATAAAAAGATAGGACATGCTAAGTCGAAATAAACTCCATACAAAAATTCATCTCATATGCAAAATGTCTCAAATAATGATAACAATAATAAAAAAATATTAAAGAGCTTCTACCCCGTGGGATCATATTTTTTATTTTATTTTATTAAAGATCGAAAGTAAGTCTTGTATGAGGCATAAGGTGGAATTAGAAATAGGTAGAAGTAAATTATATTTGAACGTTAAAAAAGATAATAAAGAATCATAGATGAAAACATTATTATTACTTTGTTGTTTCAAATCACCCATTAGCAAAAAATAAAACAAAATTTATAAAGAAAAGTTACAAATAAAAATGTTATATTCAAAAGTTGTATTACGATTACAGATAAAATATTACTATCATTGTGTGCTGTGTTAATGAAGGAAAGTAAAGTATGGGGGTTTTAAGGAAGTCAAATGTGGAATGTGGAATGTGGATGTATGTATTTTAGTTTCAGTGAGTGGAGATACAGCAAGGATCCATCAGCGAACACCGTCCAATTGAAAATAACACTCTTTCTTCTCTTTCTTTCTTTATGCCCTAAAAATGTAAAAGCTGCTGATTATGATTCGCAATATCCCCCATTGGACTCAATTTATATACGTCGGTAATATTCTAATTTTTAGTAAAACTTCAATTCACATTTCGATTCTTTAACCCACTTGATCCTATTATATTCCCACTTCATGATCTGCTGTTTTTTCACACTTCTTTGATATCTTCACTCAACACCGGTCGTCAAATCAGAATCAGTCCCTGTATTGTATCTCTCTATTAATTGCTCCGGTGCCGGCTCCGTTGAGGTCTGGAGTGAGATGAGAGTGTGAGCTGCTTTCCATTATAAAGTATAAACACACTCTCTTTTGTATTTGACAATAGGAAAGCCCACAGAAAGTCGGTTTTTTGTATTTTTCTGTTAGGGTTTTGATCAATTTTAATCTTTTAAATTCAGAATTCTCTCTCTTCCTCTCTCTTGTGTTTGTTTGTGTCTGTCTGTCTATATAGAGATAATCACGCAGAGGAGAAGAAGAATACAAAACAAGCTGAGAGGAGAGAGAGATTTGAAGGTTTTGTTGTTCATAGAGGATGAAGGTGTTGTTTGTCTTCATTTGCTAATTCCCTGCTATTGCTTTGGTCTCTTTCTTTACAAACCCCCCATCTGTAAGAATCAGTGCCACATGGTAAAATGCTCTTGCCACGATTTGAAAGCTATCTCACTATTAAACTACTCACTGTATCGTCGTTTTGATTCCAATTGCAATTCCAATTGATGATTCCTACGAAACTCATGGGTTCTGACAAGGATTTGAAGGTCTTGGAGAACAGTGCAATCGTGTTCAATTTGGCGTTGGTGGTTTTATCTCTTCTGATTGTATTGGTGAGGAAGATTGCGGTTTATACTTGGCACAATAGAGTTACAAAGGAGGAAGCTGATGAAATTGGGAGTAGGGTTTCTGCAGTAGAAACTCAATTTCTCAATGTCGAAATCGGTAAAGTTTATAAAGCATCAGTTTGTTGTTGCTTTTATGTTCTCCTTCTACAGGCTGTGGTTTTATGTTATGATGGTGTTTGTTTAATTGCAAAATCTGCACAAGGGGAAAAGGGTGTGAGCTTGGAACCTCTGTTCTTGCCCGCATCACAGTTTTTCGCTTGGTTCGTTTTGAGTTTTTCAACACTTAGTTGTAAGGTTAAGACCCTTGAAAGACTTCCATTACTTATCAGGGTATGGTGGGTTACCTCTTTTATGATCAGTTTACTTAGCCTTTATCTTGATGGGAAAGAATTTGCAATTGAAGGGCTTGAACACTTGAAAAACTCCCATCTTCTAGCTAATCTTGCAGCAAGCCCAGCTTTGGGTTTCCTGTTTCTTCTTGGTCTAAGAGGTGCGACTGGCATACACATCATTAGAGGTTCTGGTCTTCAAGAACCATTGCTGGTTGAAGAAGATGCAGGGTGTCTGAAAGTGACACCATATAGTGAGGCTGGTATCTTTAGTTTAGCCACATTATCATGGCTAAACAATCTTCTTTCGATTGGTGTGAAGAGACCACTCGAGCTTAGAGACATCCCACTTCTTGCTCCTGAAGATCGCTCTAAGTTCAATTACAAGATCTTGAACATAAATTGGGAACGTTTAAAGGCTGAAAATCAAGCTTCATTAGCTTGGGCTCTTCTTCGATCATTCTGGAAAGAAGCTGCCAAGAACGCGATTTTTGCAGGGTTATACACACTTGTCTCATACGTAGGCCCTTATATGATATCCGATTTTGTTGATTACTTGGGTGGAATTGAGCATTACCCTCATGAAGGGTATATCCTTGCTGGTGTGTTCTTTGTAGCAAAACTAATTGAAACTTTAACCACACGCCAGTGGTACCTTGGTGTTGATATTTTGGGAATGCATGTGAGATCAGCTCTCACAGCCATGGTTTACAGAAAGGGACTCAGGCTTTCAAGTTCAGCTAGGCAAAGTCACACCAGTGGCGAAATCGTAAATTACATGGCTGTTGATGTACAAAGGGTAGGTGATTACGCGTGGTATCTCCATGACATATGGATGTTACCATTGCAGATCATTCTCGCCCTTGCAATTCTTTACAAGAGTGTTGGTATTGCCTGTATTGCAACCTTAATCGCCACCATTTTATCTATAGTTATAACCATCCCTCTAGCACAAGTCCAAGAGCTTTACCAAGATAAATTAATGGCTGCAAAAGATGATAGAATGAGGAAAACATCCGAATGCCTTAGAAACATGAGGATTCTGAAATCACAAGCATGGGAAGATAGGTATAAGGTGAGGCTGGAAGAAATGCGGAGTGTTGAATTTAAGTGGCTCAAGAAGGCTTTATATTCACAGGCTTTTATCACTTTCTTTTTCTGGAGTTCACCTATCTTTGTAGCTGCGGTTACTTTTGGAACTTCAATCTTGATTGGTGGACAGCTTACAGCTGGTGGTGTTCTTTCAGCTTTAGCCACATTCCGGATTCTTCAAGAACCTCTTAGAAATTTCCCTGATTTGGTTTCAATGATGGCTCAGACAAAAGTCTCGCTTGATAGAATCACAGGGTTTTTACAGGAGGAAGAGTTACAAGAAGATGCAACAATTGTATTGCAACGAGGCATGTCAAATGTGGCAATAGAAATCAAGGATGGTGAATTCCAGTGGGACTCATCTTCTCCAAGGCCCACATTGTCTGGTATTCAGATGAAAGTGGAGAGAGGGATGCATGTGGCGGTTTGTGGCAGTGTTGGGTCTGGGAAATCAAGCTTTCTTTCTTGTATTCTTGGTGAAATCCCAAAAACTTCTGGTGAAGTAAGTCCCAACTTTGTATATTTTTAAAGTTAAAGTATTTTTTGGTTGTTTTGCATCCGTATCAATATTAACATCTTTCTTTGTGGTTTTTCTGTTTTGGTTCAGGTTAGAATATGTGGTTCTGCAGCTTATGTATCTCAGTCAGCATGGATACAATCGGGAAATATAGAAGAAAATGTGTTATTTGGTAATCCAATGGATAAGGCCAAGTACAAGAGGGTACTTCATGCGTGTTCCTTGAAAAAAGATTTGGAGCTTTTCTCACATGGAGATCAAACCATCATTGGTGATCGAGGTATAAACTTGAGTGGTGGTCAGAAACAAAGGGTGCAGCTAGCAAGGGCGCTTTATCAAGATGCTGACATTTATCTACTTGATGATCCATTCAGTGCTGTTGATGCACACACTGGTTCAGAACTTTTCAAGGTTTGAATTATTAAAAAGAGTATCAACAGTCTATATGTTATTGAAAGTTTTGAGAGTGATCTAACAGTGGAATTTGGTTTTCCAGGAGTACATACTGACAGCATTAGCTACTAAAACAGTAGTTTTTGTAACTCACCAAGTTGAATTTCTGCCAGCTGCTGACTTGATTCTGGTAAAACCTTCTTCTTTTTCTATCTTTAATGCATAAAGATGCATGTGGATCTTGAGAGTTAAGAAATGTAGATGAAAATGGCTACCCTAGTCACCTTTATACAAACGTTTCCCTTGCATTTTTCACCTTAGGGTTTGTTTCTGCAACTCAAAACCATGAATGTTTGATCAAAAAGGAATAAACTTTATAGCGTTAACTGTTTTCATTGGGTGAAATGCGTACTTGTTTGTAATATTCTTGGTTACATCATAAATATAGGGTGGTATTACTATTATTTTACCATGGTTAATCTTTCTGTAGGAAAGTTATCGGACGCTAATCTTTTGTTTGAATGATGATGTGATGGTATACATTTGCAGGTTCTTAAAGAAGGTCAAATCATTCAGGCTGGAAAATACGATGAACTTCTGCAAGCAGGAACCGATTTTAACACATTGGTTTCAGCTCACCAAGAAGCAATTGAAGCTATGGATATCTACAATCACTCAGACGATGAGTCAGATGATAACCATGGTTTGATTAAGAACTGTGAGTCAATTGTAAGCAGCATAGACACTACAACAATGGTTCCAAACGAAAGCACATCCGCTTCAGACAAAAAAGCCATCAAAGAAAAAAAGAAAGCAAAACGTTCACGGAAAAAACAACTGGTTCAAGAAGAGGAAAGAGAACGAGGGAAAATCAGCATGAAAATTTACCTCTCGTATATGGCTGCAGCCTACAAGGGGTTATTAATCCCACTTATCATCATTGCACAAACTCTATTTCAAGTCCTTCAGATTGCTAGTAACTGGTGGATGGCTTGGGCTAATCCCCAAACAGAAGGGGACACAGCTAGGGTTAGTAATTTGGTCCTAATTGCAGTTTATATGGCCCTTGCTTTTGGGAGCTCTTGGTTCATATTTGTTAGGGCTGTTTTAGTAGCTACATTCGGTCTAGCTGCTGCACAGAAACTGTTTATGAAAATGCTCACTAATGTGTTCAGGGCACCCATGTCATTCTTTGACTCTACTCCAGCTGGACGTATACTAAATCGGGTACGCATGAATCATGATTTATCAATTTAATTTTGATGGGTTAATAATAATGTTTATGTAAATTTCAGGTGTCTGTTGATCAAAGCGTTGTGGATCTTGACATTCCTTTCAGACTTGGTGGATTTGCATCAACAACAATCCAGCTTCTTGGTATAGTTGGGGTGATGACTCAGGTGACATGGCAAGTGTTGCTTCTAATTGTCCCAATGGCAATTGCTTGCTTATGGATGCAGAAGTATTACATGGCTTCATCGAGGGAGTTGGTGAGGATTGTTAGCATACAGAAATCTCCAATTATTAATCTTTTTGGAGAATCGATTGCTGGAGCAGCCACAATTCGGGGTTTTGGACAAGAAAAAAGGTTCATGAAGAGGAATCTTTATCTTCTTGATTGCTTTGCTCGTCCGTTCTTCTGTAGTATTGCAGCTATTGAATGGCTTTGCTTACGCATGGAGTTGATTTCAACATTTGTATTTGCTTTCTGTCTCGTTTTGTTAGTCAGTTTTCCACGTAAAGCTATAGATCCCAGTAAGTTCTTCCTTCCATTTCCATTCTTCTTGTTGTGTTGTTCATTAAGGGGGGAGGGAGTCGTTCCCTCCCAACCCACCGAATCCACTGCCACATCATTTTTTCTCTTTTATTTTTCCGAACCCACAACACACGGAAATCCTATCTTTTTGAACCCACTCAATTAAAAAAAATACAAAACAATCAAATGTAAAATCTTAATTAGCAATAGAGTTATCGGCGGTACCACTCCCGCTTCAACGAGTGGGTTGATTGGTTTCACCAACCCACTTCATCATCTCTCTCTACTTTCTCTTTCTTATTTTCTATTGTACCATGTGTTTTAAAACTTGTACCTTAGTTGTTTTGTATTTTTTTTAATTGAGTGGGTTCAAAAAGATAGGATTTCCGTGTGTTGTGGGTTCGGAAAAATAAAAGAGAAAAAATGATGTGGCAGTGGGTTCGGTGGGTTGGGAGGGAACGACTCCCTCCTCCCTAAATATGTGATTTTGTTTTGTTTGATGTGTAACTTTTTGATTAAATAATCAGGTATGGCTGGGCTGGCTGTGACTTATGGGCTTCAACTGAATGCGCGTTTATCAAGGTGGATACTTAGCTTTTGCAAGCTTGAAAACAAGATTATTTCCATTGAAAGGATTCATCAATATTGCCACATTCCAAGTGAAGCTCCCCCAATCATTGAAGGAAACCGTCCCCCGCCCTCATGGCCAGTCGAAGGGAAAATTGAAATCATAGATTTGAAGGTATATATATATATATATATATATATATATATATATATATATATATATTTAATAGTTATTGGCGTGCTAAATAAATAGAAAAATTGAATTTTTTTTATTTTTATGTGGTTTTAAAGGGTAATTTTGTATTTTGTTAGGTTCGTTACAAGGAGAGTTTGCCAGTGGTACTGCGGGGAGTGACATGCGAATTCCCGGGAGGGAAAAAGATCGGGATTGTCGGTCGTACGGGAAGCGGTAAATCAACTTTGATTCAGGCGCTATTTCGACTGATTGAACCAGAAAGCGGGAGAATTATTATCGATAATATTGATATTTCCACTATTGGCCTTCATGATCTACGTGGCAGACTTAGTATCATACCCCAAGATCCCACCTTGTTTGAAGGCACCATTCGGGGTAACCTTGATCCCCTTGAAGAACACACAGATCAAGAAGTTTGGGAGGTTAGATAGATCATAGATATATCTACTTCCAAATCCAACTTCAAGTTGAACATATGTTAATTTAGACTTTTGTAATGGCATGTAATATATATTTTATTTTATCAACAGGCACTTGATAAATCTCAACTTGGAGATACGGTTCGCGAGAAGGAGCAAAAGCTTGATGCACCAGGTATTTATTTATTTTGTACCAAAAAATAGAAATAAAAGGAGGAATGTTTGGTAATTGGTATGTGGTGTGATGAAATTGTTGCAGTTCTTGAAAATGGTGATAATTGGAGTGTGGGTCAGAGACAGCTTGTGTCACTGGGGAGGGCTTTGCTAAAACAGGCACGGATCCTGGTGCTTGATGAAGCAACTGCTTCTGTGGATTCAGCAACCGATAATTTAATACAGAAGATCATCCGGATGGAATTCAAAGACTGTACTGTTTGTACAATTGCTCACCGCATCCCCACAGTAATCGATAGTGATCTTGTCCTTGTTCTTAGTGATGGTATGTTCATTTCCATTTCCATCATGTCTTTAATGCTTAAAAAAGTTGCTTTCTTAAATGTTGATTATAAGATTTTGTAATTGATATTGGTTTGACATGGTTTTTACTTTTTTATAGGGCAAGTTGCGGAATTTGATTCGCCAATCCGGCTATTAGAAGATAAATCATCAATGTTTTATAAGTTGGTAACAGAATACTCATCTAGATCAAATGGTATCCCAGATTATTCATAATCATCATACAAATGTCAACTTGGAAAGGAATATACACACCCCCTTCAAAACAAATCAAATGGGGGACCATGGGACCATGGCACGTGCACGGGCCCACCTCAAGCATACGTTCACCAAACTCAAATCAATGAGGTAGTACCCACACACGTGCCAAAATCGTACATTCTAAAGAGCCGAGTCTATGAATCTTGTGAGTGATTCACATGTTGTTGACATAATTTTGTAAAATAAATAAACCTGGACTAGAAACAAAAGTTGGGATTTTTTTGGTAATAATAATTAGTGAAAAGAAGCATTCGGCAACAATCTATTTTTGTTATCTTACTAATGATTTTGCTGACCTTTTGACTTTTAAGTCCAAAATCTTATTTAAGGGATATTCATATGCCTTTAAACTTGATAGAACCTGTAACAGCAATTGGGTAGGCTTTGTTAGAATTTAGAAATACCAATAGTCAAGACTTTATTTGAATAGTAGCATAGTCATAGTACATGAGGATGAGGTTTTACAAATCAAACAACATTGGACTTGCAATGTGGTGTTGCCAAGTGATATGGGTCATGGACATTTCTGGCATCTCTTGTTTCATTATAATTTTGCGTAATTATTTAATATATATTTTAGAGTAGTTTCTTCATTCTTGTTCGTATATTTGGTATTTTATAGAAAGATGCTCCATTTTTGGTGGGTTTGGTAACATATTCAAATTTCAAAACATAATTCATGGGGGATGGAAAAAAAAATACTTAAATTAGACAATTGATGGAAAGAAATTTTAGATTTCATCAAAAACTAAAATTATCGGTAAAATCATGACCGTTAATTTTAACTAGGAAAAGGCCCGTGCATTGCACGGGTGAAAGTTTAGTGGCAAAAATATAAAGAAGTAAAAATAAAGTGTCAAAATTATAAAGCGGAAAAGTTTGTTGAAACTTTAGTGGCAAAATTAGTAAAAATAAAGTACCAAAACTATAAAAATGAAAAAGTTTTTTGAAACTTTAGTGGCAAAATTATAAAAAAGTAAAAATCAAGTGGTAAAATTATAAAAGAATAAAGAAAAAGGGTTTTAAAAAGTAAAAATGAAAGTTTAGTGGCAAAAATATGAAGAAGTAAAAATAAAGTGACAAAAATTATAAAAAAAAAAGTTTATTGAAACTTTAGTGGCAAAACTAAGAAAAACAAAAAATGTAGTGTGAAAATTATAAAGATGTAAATGTTACTGTTAAAATGCGCCATGGGCTTTAATATATATATATATATATATATATATATATATATATATATATATATATATATATATATATAATAACCTGTGTCGACATAAAAACTTGTCACGTGTAACAATACATGTTGCTATGGAAATTGATTATTTTCTTAAAAACGTCACTTTTGTAAAATGTTGTTAAAGAAACTTGGTTTTATTTTTTAAGATAATTAATTTTAATAACCCCGTGTCGACATAAAAACTTGTCACGTTTAACATTACATGTTGCTATGGAGATTGATTATTTTCTTAAAAACGACACTTTTTGTAAAAGGTTGTTAAAGAAACTTGGTTTTATTTTTTAAGATAAAAAACTTGGTTTTATTTTTTAAGATAATTAATTTTAATAACCCTGTGTCGACATAAAAACTTGTCACGTTTAACAATACATGTTGCTATGGAAATTGATTATTTTCTTAAAAACGTCAATTTTTGTAAAAAGTTGTTAATGAATTTAGAAAAGTAATCTTTAAGTTTCAATTTCGGGCCACGGTGATCTATCTATCGGTAGGACTCTCTCGGATTAATGCGGTATAAAGAAAATTCGAGTTAAGATGATATTTATTCTCATATAAAATCTATCATTTTAGTTTCATATATACACTAACATTGGTGAAAAAATTTAGGAAATCACACTAGTCAAATAATTATGTTTGTATGGTTAAATCATAAAAGGTAGAAACTTTTATGATTTTATGTATTTTAGCTTAGATCTGATAATGGAACGGGTTTAGAACGAATCAACATTGATCCAAACATTTTTACCAAATTTTAAAATTTGATCCAAACTCATTCCGTCACCCGCATGATTTTGAATAATCAAACTAATGCTCTTATCTACCGAATCAACAAATATTCAAACCCTCCCCGTAATCCGTAGGTTTTTTGAATAACCAAACACATATTATTTAATTCTTAAAGTTACATTTTTACATAAAAAAAATGTCTACTATAACTTAATATCTAAAACAACATTTCTCAAATAAAACAAATGTTGGTTTAGAAAACATATTATGTACTCGAGGATTTACGATTGGAATTAAAAAACATTATTGCAAAAACTTCCAACTGATTTCTGATTGTCGGTTGCAGTGATAGATAATAATGCTTGCAAATTTTATTCCAATTGATAAATGATTTTATCGATTTATAAATGACATTGGTGGTTGCTTGATGAAATTTAGAATGAATGACATCATGATTCTTACAGAAAACTGGAAATCTGGATGTAGACTCTTCAAGCCTTTGGTAAACACGGTTTGGACTTTCAATTGGTTTGAAAAGTTGTCGAACCAAGCTAACCACCAATGTTGCCACCTAAAAACCAACTTTATTGAACTAACAAATGTGACAAAACTTACCAGACTCGAATGAATCGAAACTTTGAGTATTCAGTTGATATAAAGCTTGCACCTTTCCATTTTAATCACTAGATCTAGCTAGGGTTTTCTAGTTTTGTCCCTTTGGTTGGTTTTGTTCCTCCTCTTGTGAACTAAGTAACTCCAAAGGATGGAAATGATAGATCTGAGGTCCCTTAGTCATTTTCAACATAAAAATGGAGTCTTGGTGGGTATTTTGACCTCATGCATGGGTTAAGAGCTTTAAAAAGGTCTTAATGAGGGTATTGGGAGCATATGGGACATGCAAAGGCATAAAGTTGCCAACTTTATGCCTTAGGTCGTCTAAATAGGCTTAGATCTGACTTCTGGACGTAAATGAATCGAGTATTAAGCACTTACTATAAAAAGTGCTTAATCTGTTAGTACGCTAGGCGTAACCCAGTGTACGTTGCGCGTAAGCCCCGGAACCCCAGTACGCTGCACGTACCGGGATGGTACGCTAAGCGTACGCATCATAGTTGGGCTTGGATCTGTTTTGGGCTTTTGGACTGTTGGGCCTCATTTGGTTTTTGGACTTGGTTGCATTTTTAGAATAGTGAGCCATTTTATCTGTTTGGGCCATTGGTGTTATGATTGGGTCTTATTGGGCCAAGAGGCCCATTAATGATTTTTAGTCATGGACTTTGGGCCCATTATCAAAGAAAGGGGATTTGGGCCTTTATGGAAGGACTTGGGGTTTGGGTCTTCCCTTTTATTGTAATGTCCTAACATGGGTTAATATTATTATTCAACACGGGAGGTTATCGACTGTTAGGAGAGCAGCTTTCGCATTCAGCAGACAAAGGTGAGTCTTCTCACCATACCCATGGGTCTAAGGCACCAAGGTCGGCGCATTATGTGATTATGTTTATGTGATAGTTATTTCAATGATTTGATATGCTATGTGACTGCGTGTTATTTGATGCAAGACCATGTGGAGTAGCTCATGGCATTCCTAGGTAAAGACCATGTGGGGTAGCCCATGACACTGGATGTAAGACCATGTGGGGTAGCCCATGACATTCTTAGGTAAAGACCATGTAGGGTAGCCCATGACACAAAGGTGTAAGACCCTGGGGGGAACCCATGGCATCCTTACAGGTTTATTTATGAATGACTTATGTGTTATATGTAGCTTTTATAGCTAACAAGATATGTGATATGTGTATTTTGTGTGGTATGCTCTGGGAAACTCAATAAGCATTAGCTTACATGTTGTGAATTTGTTTCAGGTACTTCTGGTCCCAAGGGCAAAGGCAAGGCGTGATGACGCGGCGTGCACTCTCTCCCAGGCGTTTTTATGGACACTCTGATGTTGGAATAAAAGTTGTATTTGACATATGCTTTGAAAACAATTATGATTGAATTTCTTAAATCATGGAAATGTATTTGACTATTCAAAAATGAAAATTTTCTTTGAAAAATTGGGTCGTTACAAATTGTAATAGATATAATGATTTTTCACTATCTATTTCTTATTTCCAATAACATTTTCAAGATGATTTTGCTCTGCAAGAATTTTATTAGAAATCTATTTTTCTGTAATTTTATTTATTTATTAATATCAATAACCTATATTTTTAGGATCTCTAATGTGGGAGCATCTGTACATGCTTTAATTACTGAAATCGTTATGAGTTTGTTCTAAATGCATTAATTACCCAACATCGTTCTAGGTCTGCCCTTTGGTCTTTTTCATCATCTTTCATAGGTTTGGAAATACAATCGATCATTTTAGATGAAAATAATGTATTACGATAGAAGTCTGATGAGTTAAGAATGAAACAATGACATTCTTCATATTCGCAATGATAACGACCACATTTGTAGGTATTGAATGAGGTTTCAACTTATTTATTTTCTTGGACTTGTTGGATGACCTAATGTACATTTTCTTGATAAGGTCGTCCGGTGTACACTACACGAACCGGCTCGTGGTCTACGTGGCCACGAAAAACGCCTGTGTACACTACCCGGGCCATTCGTGGTCGGGCATGTTCGTGATGGGTCGTGATGCAGACGACGAACAACAACGAAGGTCTCTCTGTCTCTCTCTCACCCTTCTACTTCTTCTTCTCTCTCTCTTCGTTCTTTTCTTCTTCATCGTGGAGAGTACTCCATGGAAAAGTGGTGGCTCGTGGTGGCCAGTCTGAAAGCTCTCCACGACATTTGTCGTGGAGAGTATAGCAGATGATCTAACAAAGAGATATGAAGTGATTACTTTGTATGAATTATGTTTTATTTTAATTTATTTATAGTAGTTGGATAAGGTGTTAGGTGAAACATTTAATACCATTTTTAGATGAAAGAGTTAATAATAATGTTAAAATTAAATTAAAAAAAAAAGCAAGTTAGGTGACACAGGGTGAGAGAATTTAGAATTATTGTTGTTTTATTTTTTTTTTTTTTTAAAAAAAAATCTAAATGTTCCCATTTGTTGCAAGACCCATTACATAATGTTTTCACTATTTCGCAAGGTCATTATGAAATGGCCAAACTAATATCCTTTTGGGAGATTTGGTGTCATCAGGATTTCCGGAGGGCTTGACGTAAAATACATGAGTATTGGCGTAATTTGTTAACTATAAGATAATTTTATAGAATCTACCTCTACCTCTTCTAATAAATGAAACCTAAAAATGACACGTTTCAGTTTTT